GACACGTGGTTAAATATGCTTGACCAAAATTATTGATTGTCGGTACGTTTGATTGAATACCTCTGAATGAAAACGCACGTCCTTATCTGCAATTTTTCTCGATAACAGGCTCTACATGAACGGAATCAGCTATATCCGGTCATTTTTTTGAAAGAGGTAGACATTTGGTCGGCAGATGAAACGAGGGGTCCACAACGTGTGTTCGGCGAAGACTGAGTGGATCTTTAGAAAAAAGTTCTTAGATTGAAGAATTACACGAGGCTTTACATATGTCCGAGATAGGTAGCCAAAGATTGAACTCCGACAATACCATATTTTCAAAAGATCCCAAATCTCATCGATTTCTGAAAGGATTTCTTGAAGATGCTCCAAAGCTATAACTTTCAGCTTGCTCTTGCTATAAAACATAACAATTTCAGACTGTCAACTAGGACAAGACACAAAAAAATAAAAAATAAACAACATGAAAACATACAAGTTAACAAACCGTGCCTGCAAAATAATCCTAAAATAATTAACTCTACACTACATCCTGCCCCCGCATTTGGGAGAGTGATTACGTTAATATATCTTCCCTGCTCTCATTGAAGTACATTGTAAACTTACCGGACTAAAAGCTGTTAAAACTTTAAAATACACTGTATCTATTCGTATAGACGGACCCAGATCCCTTGAAGGGGGGGGGGGGCGCAAAAGGGGTCCGAGGGCTTCCCTCGGAAAATTTTTGAAGCATCTGAAATGCAGTTTTAGTCAATTTTGTCATGAATAATTACCGGATGTGAGCGTCTTTCCTTCTTCTTTCCTATATTCCCTCCTTCTTTCTCCCTCCTCTTTCTTCCAGCAAGCAGGGGGGCCGAGGGGGGCGTGCACCCCCTACGCCCCCCTGGATCCGCTTTTGTATGTATTCTAAAAGTCTAAGAGCCTTCAAATGCCTCTCATTGCGTCTCTCATTAAAAGTTGCACTCTAGATAGACATACAATTTCATCAGACTTGTTGCGGTTTGACGTTTGATGAAAAAATTACCCATGTGTGTGTATGACTACTGTAGTACGTTGAGGGGTCAACGGGCATCTTTACACCCTACGAACGTCAATATTATGTCAACCGAGACATTGATATTCTCTCCACGCGAACTTGGGACTGCTAGTGTTTTTTACCCCTTTGCGAACAAAAGTGTGACGTATTTGATCAAATGGTCAACAATTTATCCGCTTGAGTTGACTAATCTAGGCCATTGACCGAGTATTTGAGCATCATTCGGTATTGATGTAGATTAATTTGAGGGTGCAATACAGTGTATTGCATACGAGAGATTCATCCTGAAAGAGGAAGGAAAACTGTAAAATGTTGTATAATAGCGTCCGAGGGGCATTGGTGGATCCAGCAAATTGGTAACATTGTCTTTCTTTCCTCCATTTAAACCAATGGAAATGTATCGATTCTTGGAGGAGCCATCCGACAAGAATCGATTATTGAGCATAGGTTTAAATGGAAGAAATCCGGCGTTGCCAAATTGCTGGATCCGCCTCTGCCGAGGGGAGGTAAAAGGCAGGGAGGATGGGAGATCTCACGTAAAATATGTCTGTCATACCGTCGTTTTCCTCAAAAAAGAACGTAACTACATTCCAATGCTGCCAAATTTTGTCTCGAGAATTGCACCTTTATTGGGAGACTCTCGATCATTTTTACCTGAAAATTTCACCGATTTTCCCTCTGAGCGCATGGAAAAATCAGAAAAATTTCGGACAATATTGCACAGGTACATTTTTGTAAAAAAAAATTGAATTATGTAAGTCAATTTTGCAAGTATGAAATTAAGTTACGTTCCTTCGTTTGGGAAATGACGACATGTTCAAACTTCAAAAATCCAACGATAATTCCTCAATTTTAGTGTTTTTTACGTACAAATTTAGCGCGTTCAATTTAGTGTACCGTATCATACCTCCAATTACGTAAAGTTCTTTTCAAGGGTCAAATTTTCAGGACTGAGCACGTAATCAGAAATGCGTCGAATTATGATGTAATAATTTTTCACTGATTGTACTTAAGAAGTTAATTAATTCTTTGCCTTGAAAATCAATGAATCTTGATAAAAAGAGCAAGCCCTAAAAGAAACTGGAACCGCAAATTCAAACAATTGCTGTGATTTGACTTCCTTCTACTGATTGAATAAAGGACGTTAGACGTTTTGGTATCCGTTATTTCTGTTAAGGNGAGGAAACAAAGGGTAGACAATGAGGCAATAGGGCAAACTACTTTACGCTCCCGTAAGTCTTTGATAAGATCAATGTATTGATTTGGTATCCTTCAATTAGAGGCGAGTGTCCTAAGAAAGATACACCCACACCAAATGGTTTATTCTTACGTACAGTGCATTGAACCTCGAGTTACAGCATGCATTTTGCTTCGCGGGTAACATAAATTCAGCATTATAGGGGCTTCTTTCTATTGGTACATATTAAGAGCCAGGGAGCATGCGTTGCGCCCCCTGGCCGCTACGCGTCCTTACCCCCAGAGAGCGCTTCGCACCCTCTAAGCCATTCAGGGGCCTTACCTAAGTTAATTGGATTGCATTTTGCAAAAAGGAACCACTAGCATTGCAATGATGCTAAGATTGTGCAACTTCATCTTTTGCAATAAAATTGCGGAAATTTTGAAAAACTATATGAAATTTAGATGGTAATTTTTGTCTTAAATTTACAGTTTTTAGCGAGTAAAATAGAAACTGTTAATGGATAATCGAGTTTTTCCCCCCCAAGACAAAAGAAGTTGCACAATCTTAGCAACATTGGAATGCTAGTGGTTCCTTTTTGCTAAATGCAATTCAATTGTAAGTAAGCAGGCTTATCTACCGACCATTTTTTATCGATAGCCGCAAAAATAATGGAAATCGGTCCAGTTAAGCGGCGAATAGTGACAAAAATGAAAATTTAAGGGGATTGGAGCTCTTATAGTAATGATGACGCAAATTAGCAGTAACTTTTCCTAGGTTAATGTAAAGTTAGCAGGCTCAGCTACCGACCATCTCTAATCGATAGCCGAAAAAAACGCATGGAAATTGATCCAGTAGAATGGCGGATTGAGCAGTGACAAAAAATGAAAAAAGGGGATCGGAGTACTCATGGTAATGATGAAACAAATTAGCAATAAAAGTTTAGCATGCCACTTCTTTTCATCACGAATTCGAAAGCACCTGATAAAAACGTCGAATGGTTTATAAGAATATGTTGAAGAAAATTTAAAGAAAAATTCGCACACAGTTGCGCTTAAGTAGTTAGTTTAAACCGGAACGCGTTTTCAAGCTTTAAGCTCGTCTTCAACCATTTTCAATGCATGCTGAAAACGGCAGGAAACGGAGCTTATCGCGTTAGAACGCACCAGTGGCGTGGCGTGAATTGCGATATATCGATTGTTATGCCATTTAAACATATGGACAAGGATCGATAAACAGGGTGTTTGCAGCGAACACCTTAATAATTGATTCTTTACCATTCTTTAATATCGATTCTATAACAATCGATATATCGCTATTCATGCCACGCCACTGGAACGCACTTGCGCCGAAAAAAAAGTCTAGTTTATTTAACATTCTGAATGTAAAAAAAAATGTATGAGAACTTACAAAATGCCGAATTAACCACCACAGCAGTTATTTTAGCAATGCCAGGATGTAAAACCAACTGCCATAGCGGGTAATTCAGCTTTCTGTGGGTACTTCTTTTACAACCAGAATGTTAAAACAACTTCACTTTTTTTCGGCGTGACGAAGAGCAAAAAAGTTGCCAGTCCTGAGAGCTCGGGCAATGAAAGCTCATAATCCATGTTTGGAGTTCAGTGACCGGCGCGCCTGGTTCAGAGACCGAAGCTTGGGCCACTGAGCCGAAAACATAGACAGTGCTCACTGTATAAGGCCCACAATTTGCCGTTTCCCTCGCGAAAGAACGTAACTTCATTTCAATGTTGCCAAATTTCCCGTCGTTTATTGCATATCGACGGTGAAACTACCAAACCACGTATCTCGGTTTGCGACGTCACAGACTTCCTGTCATACTTTATTTTTTAAATGAAAAACTACTTAACGTCCAGTCTTGAAAATTTCTGTGATTTTTCCTCTTCGTGCGGAGAAAGTTCTGTGATAAAATTTCAAGGAATGATATTGATTTGGTCTACTTCAAAAAAATAAAATGTGAGCGTAGATTTTTAAACACCGCAAACGAGATACGTGGTTTGGCAGTTTCACCGTCGATATACTATAGGGGAGAATCCTGAGCATTTTCAACTGATAATTTTACTGATTTTTCTCCACATTTCATGCGAAAATGAAAAAACTTTTGGATGAAAATCGGACACGTACATTTTGGTCAAATAAATAAATTGTTTGAGTCAATTTGGCAACCTTGGAATGGAGTTACATTCCTTCGTCCGGGAGACGACGAATTACGGCTCAGAGGCCCGGAGTGTTTTCCCCGGTGAATGCACTTTTTATTCCACGTCAACGACGAATTGTTGACACACTGATCTCAGTCAAAGGCTCTTTTCCAGAGCTTGCCGACTTGCGGGATATTCGCTTTAAAAGCTGTAAAGTCTAGAGTTTTTACATAAAAATCGGCAGCGTCGCATTTTCCCATCCCCGCTCGGTCCCGGCCGAGAATTCCGACTTCCAGTGGGTGCTCGTAATCGCAATCGCCAATAACCTTGACCGATAGATCTGTTTATCTCGCCAACCTTCCGACCCTTTACTTAAGCTCGGTCCAGCTCCCGGCCGTCTCAGTCGCCGCTCTGTGATTTTACGGCTTTGCAAGTCAGTTAGCTCGCAGCGGGCGAGAGGCTTTGGCGAGTTTAGTCGGTCCGATCGGGCTTCGAGGAATCCGTCAGTGCGGAGTGTGGGAGTGCGCGGTCGCGCGCTATCTGTCGGCGGGTGTCGGAAGCGCGGTGCAAGATAGGGTCGTCGGCGCTGTACTGCAGCTTCCTGATTTCCAAGCCTCTGTGCGAGTTGCAGGAGCAGGCCGAGCAGGAGGAAGCGCAGGAGTTGAAGCCGACCAAGCGGCAGAGTCTGAAGAGGAAGCGGTTCGCGGTGAAGTTCGCTGCCCTGCCGGAGGAGATGTCCCGAGAGGGAGGCCAGCTCACCATCACCGAGTCTCTCGACTCGGACCAGATGGAGGCACTCAAGACGCTCAAAGGGCTCGTTGCCGGTAAGTCCACTCTTTTTTCCTACACTGCGAGCTAATGGAGATGTTGCATGTGTGAGGGATTTGCGATTTGACTGTTGATTCTTAAGTAAAAGTTCGCGAGAAACGCGATGGTGCCACTGGTTTTCTCTGAAATCAACTCCCAAGCTCAAAAAAAGCTCTCAAGTTGAGGCCAAAATGGAGGGGATATCCCACCCTACCCTGAGAGTCCACCTCTACATCAAGACAAATTCTCCATGCAAAGATAGGGAGCAAATACATTGACAGGGCTGCCACTTCATTTGGGGACTCTAAAACTGAAAACACGGCATCTTTGCTAATGTATTTGCTCCTTATTTTCTCATGGAGAGTTTGTCTTGATGTAGACGTGGACTCTCAGGGTAGTTTGGGATATCCCCTCCATTTTGGCCTCATTTTGAGAGCTTTTTTTGAGCTTGGGAGTTGATTTCAGAGAAAACCAGTGGCACCATCGTGTTTCTCGCGAACTTACACATAAGAATCAACAGACAAATCGCAAATTCTTCACACATGCAACATCTCCATTATTGAAACGGACAGACACAGTGATTGACGAAAGAAAGTGAAGTGATCCTATTGGTTGGAACAGGTGGCTCTTGATCTGGCTCAATCAGTAGGTGCAAACTATCTTAAAGAAACTGGCATTTTTAGGAGGCTGTTGATTTAAATGGGCCGAAAGTCATCGGGGAGGAGAGAAAGTGTGTCAACGGGTAGGCCCTAGTGGATAGTTTGAGAGAATCATCCCGCTACTTAACGCCTGCAATTGTGCGTGTAGGCAATTTGGCAGAAATATACCAAGCGGAAAATATTAGGAATTGCGACACTCTATTCCGATCGAAATCGGAAGGCTAGTCCAATTTTCACAGAAGAATGTTGCTTGGTGACTGACAGTCATCATATGGTCTGTTAGGATCGAAATTGTTTTGGACTTTGATCATCCGTGGATGCTTTTTGAGACAATTTGCTCTTACTGATATTGAGAGTATAATGCTGACGACAATTCACTGAATGATTCAATATCAGAGCTTTATAAGACCGGTGAATCAAAAAGTATTCTTAAAGAGCAACGACTATTCATGCTTCACTGCGGGGTAAATTGCCCACACGCAAAATTGCGCAGGCGTTTTGTAACGGAATGATTCTTCCAACCTAACAACTAAAGGTACACACAATTTCCCTCCTCCTCGATGACTTTTGGCCCATTTAAATCAACAGCCTTCTAAAAATGTCAGTTCCTTTAAGATAATTTGCACTTACTGATTGACATTGAGAGCATGTAAAATACATGGAACGTGTCCCGTGTCTACCTAAGTTTATCGACTCTGAGTTCGTTGAACTCAAAGTTGATGATGAAGAGTTACAGAATGTAAAGAAAAAATTTCTACTTCTGGATAAGTTAGCAGCCAACTGACGTTCAAACTTGATCATCCTCAAAGCTTCCAGGACTTTATGTCCACCTACCTTTCGTCCATTAAATAAATGTCCACCGCTATTTATGTCCACTAAACGTTAAGTCCAGTCTTTATTAAGTCTACATGATTTAATGTCCAACCATGAATAATGTCCAAAATTGTCCAAATTGTGGACATTTTTTTTCTTCTCATTTAAATGACAGGAACCACTTCAAAAATAAATGCATACTACTACTACCTTCATTCTTAAAAACATTGCATTCATTAACCAAGTCATGAAAGAGAACAGACTCTAAGAGCAGATAAAAACATATGTTCATGTGTACAGTGTACGGATATGATAAGACGAAAACCAAAGCGGAAGCCAAGGAAACGCTCCAATGCCAAATTAAACATTTTTCATGCAGTCAAAATAATTGAAAGTCCTCTTTGACTAGTTATTTCGTGCGCCTTCAATCTTATGGGATACTGTGCGACGCCTCTGACGCGAAATAGTTGCTTAAAGCATTGCGGCGCGGCAGGCAACCAGCGTGACACGCGCACAGGCGCCTACAAACCTAACGGGCTACTTCACGCGTTGCGCAATGCGTTAAGTATCCCGTTAGGCTTGTAGGCGCCAGTGCGCGTTCTGCGCTGCTAACACGCCGCTCCGCTCTGTGTTAGGCTCTAATATTTGAACTCGCGGAGTCAGCGTTTTTCAACTCATGATTTTGAAATGTTTGCGCTCTCTGCATTGATGATTCCCTTTTAAACTGATGAAAAAGAAATATGTACTACTGGAAAATATAATGTGTTTTTTGTAAATATAATAGTAGTTCCGTGTCAAATTTAATGATTTCCAAAGCATTCAAATTTATTCTTTTGTGTTTTGGGCTTTTACTGTGCTGCAGCGTGGTGTAAGCGCAATTAAACGCTCAAAATTGGACGTATAGAAGGTCGATGTACAAATAAGTTAAAAACAAAAAATTGCGTGCTTCTCAGTTTTTGTCCTCTTTTATTAATTTTTGTATAGTTTCTTTCATCGCAACTACGGCTCATTGAGATTCATATCGATGTCATTGCTTGGAAAAGGTTTTACAAATATTTACCACGTTTTAAAAATGTAAATGTTCTTAAAATGAAGTAATCAATTTCATTAAAAAAAAA